GCCTCCAAAGTCCTTCCTCATCGGTTCCTGAAAGACCACCTTCCAAGAGCGCCATGAATTCCTCCTGGGTAAGCTGGTCATTAACGCCTCCTTTTCCCTTTGCCTTGGGCAGCTTGGCTACCATGCGCTCCCACCATGTTTGTGCATGTTCGTTAGAACAAAACACGCTCTTCTCTTCCTGGGCTATTCGGGCTGCCTTTCTACATCCGCCCAAGGCGCATGTCTTCTTGTATAATGTTGTGAGGCTTTCGTTTGTGCAGAGTGGACATATGAACTTTTCGATCAGATTCTCGCCGATTTCTTTGTTCATGTTGATACATTCTCCATGGAACCAATCCTCGCAATTTTCGCAGCATATCATCCATCGATGGTCGTCTGCTCCGCGGCATAGGCAATATGGCCCATGGTCGGACTCCTCGAGTTCGGATCCTGCTGATTCATGGGCATCTCCAGCGGAACCTGACTGCGCGGGTTTGGCTCTTTTCGCCGCTCTTGGCCCTCCGGTTTTCTTTGATCGCTTAGACGTCTTCTTAATTGCTGAAGCGGTGCCTTTCTTCTTCAAAGCTGTGTGAGCGGCCATGTTGGAAGGTTCTGCAGATGTAGAAGGAGGATGTAAAGGTGAGTTGGAGGAGGCGGGATGGGCATCTGACAGAGGTTGAGGGGTACTCTCGGCTACTGTTTCGCTCTTTGTGTCATTTTCAAAGGGCTCAGAGCGAGAGTCTTCGCTTTGTCCTATTGTTGGTGTAGTTTGTTCCATTGTGGAGTGTTGACAGTGCTGGCAGGTGTTGCCCTTTCTATACAATTAATGTGGTCACTTGACACAATACGATTTATATAATAGACTGAGAAACAGGTGATGAAAGGAAAATATGAAGACCACCAGTTTATTAAGCTAATCGACAAAATGAAAATTGAAACTTCGGTGTAAGTGACAAGTAGTTGGAGATGGGAGAAGTGAATGGTTGATAGACTGAATGACTAAGGCGGGACCGACAAACCCGGTAAAAGCCCGGACCATGTATTTTTTGGAGCTTGTGACAATCGAAAGATGTAAGTTTACGTAGTAGATAGCTTAGCTTTTGCATGAGTTTATCGACTCTTGCCTAGAGTCAATTCACCATGTCGAATTCGATCGCGGCATCAAGAGCACTGAGGGGGGTGTTTTCCTCCCTCTCGACAAGACAATGCCAGCGCTGTTTGTCCAGCAGCGCTCTCCAGCCCAAGCAGCTCCGACCAACCCTCCCACGAGCGCCAATCCAGTCGAGACAGCCCATTACTCAGCGCCGAACGAAATACAAGACGATCGAGCAGGCCAAGAGCCGATATAGCAATGGGGTACGAATGGAGAAGATCCGGAGAGAAATGAGTCGGTAATTGAGGAAACAATGAGCTGACAAATGGACAACAGCCCTTTTCCTGGAAGGCCGGAATTCTGTTCGTCGGTACTTGCGGCTTGTTAGTATGGTACTTCGAATTTGAAAAGGCGCGCATGCAGCGCAAGAGAATAGCCGAGGCGGCCAAGGGCGTGGGCCGACCAAAAGTTGGAGGGTCCTTTGAGTTGATCGATCAGGACGGAAAGCCATTTACCAGCGAGATGATGAAGGGCAAACACTCTTTGGTATGTCAAAGGAAACGAGCTTCGCTATTTCGAAATGAGGATGTTCATGGCTAATTCTTACTAGGTGTACTTTGGTTTCACTCGATGCCCTGATATCTGCCCCGAAGAACTCGACAAGATGGCTACCATGTTGGATATCGTCGAAGAAAAGGCCCCGGGTGCGCTTCTTCCTATCTTTATCACCTGCGATCCTGCCCGTGACACCCCCAAGGCTCTTAAGGAATACCTGGGCGAGTTCCATGAGAAGTTCATCGGGTTGACCGGCACGTACGACCAGATCAAGGCGCTCTGCAAGAAGTACCGCGTCTACTTCAGCACACCTCAGAATGTCAAGCCAGGACAGGACTATTTGGTGGACCACAGCATTTACTTTTACTTGATGGACCCGGATGGTGATTTTGTTGAGGCATTGGGCAGACAACACTCGCCGCAGCAGGCCGCAGCGCTTATCCTGGACCATATGAAGGACTGGGATAAGAAATAGAGCATTCGCTTTTTGGCTCTATGTAAAAAGAACATCCATGGTTGGGTTGTAAGATGAGCAGATATTGCGGGTGATGTAAAAGTACTGTAACACCAGAATCATGAACTCATAGACGGATACTGTGAATTAGGAACCACTCAATCAACTGTACATTTCCACGAACTGTATTAAAAAGGAGAGCCTCGTGAATTATAGTTTTTTGTGTCTTAGTCTACTGGTATTGGCAATTTACGTATTGGTTACTGGGTTATGGCGATCCTCGGCTCATATCAATTGTGGGTGGATATTACCGACAACAAGTCCTCTTATCAACCATGACTCTAACAAGTTGACACTTAGGGTGTTACAACTAATAGTTAACTTTGAGCATTACCCGTCGCCGTTGCACCATTCCTTATCCTGCTACCTCACTGAGATCTCCGATCTTGAAGATCTGGTGTATATTTTCTCTTATACTTGATCCTTCGCGCTTCGGTAAATAAATATGCAACGCTTCGGTGTGGTCGGCCAATGCCGATTCGCCGCACGTCGATTGACGCAGCTACGGCCTGTCGCACCGACGACGACGGCTGCCTTGAGAGCTTCATCTATATCACAAAGACTATTCACTACCTCTAATGTTTATCTATCTAAGCCAAAGGGCTCATTAGGCGTCAACCCGAATCAATATGAGGAGCCCACCGACCTGGCACGAAAGCTGTTTTCCGAGTTTGCCTTTGCATTTGAGTAAGTCGGCTTCGTACGATGTTTTATAACCTTCCTAGTCAACTCAGAGGATATGTTTCGCGAATACAAAAAGTGCACTATAAACTGACAAATGACAGTATTGACGGAGTCTTGTACCAAGGCCGCAATAGAGTGGATGGAGCTGAGAAGGTCATCAAGATGCTCAGAAGCAATGGTATCCGATATGTCTTTTTGACCAACGGTGGTTGTGTTCCTGAAGACAAAAAAGCAGAGACTCTTCAAGAAAGACTACAAATTGCCAAGAACGACGATGTGGTAAAAGGGAGGATGATTCTGTCTCACACACCAATGAGTGGTTGGAGTGATGATGTCAAGAACAATGGCACTATCTTGATTACAGGCTCTCATCCTGAGGAAGCTCGTCAAATTGCTCTTGGGTGAGTATTCAAACACTGTGGAAAATATCCTCCGGCCAGCTAATTGTTATAGTTATGGGTTCAAGCGTGTTATCACCCCAGCAGATATCCTCGCTGAGTGCAAGGACGTGTTTCCCTTCGAGCATATTGAGGGCGAGATTAATGGCAAGCCGACACAATTACCTGATGGCAAGCGAATTCCTTTGCTCAAGGACCCTTATACAACTAACGTCCCTGCGAACGCTCTAAAGATTGATCACATTTTCATCTGGAACGATCCAAGAGACTGGTCAGTTGATATTCAGATCATCCACGACCTTTTAATATCCCATCAAGGCTACCTCGGAACGGTTTCGAACCGGAATGGTACTGAGTCTCTGCCCAACAATGGCTGGCAGCAAGATGGTCAACCCGGACTATGGATCTCTAACCTTGATATGCTATGGAAAACAAACTACCCTGTGAACCGATTTGGCACGGGTGCATTCATGGAGGCCCTCAAGGGAGTATGGTCCACCACTACCAACGGAACAGAACTGCAGTTCAGCGCACTCGGCAAACCATCCAACCATACGTACAAATACGCTCATGATAGGCTGCTACAGTACTACCACGATATGGCCTGCAATCGAGGTCAAAGCCCTGGGCATGATATATCGAAGTGCCACCCTCTTCGACGCGTTTACATGATTGGTGATAACCCAGAAAGTGACATCCGGGGTGCTAGCGAATTTAAAGCGGAGGATGGTACCGAGTGGGTGCCCATTCTTGTACGAACTGGCGTCTGGCGACAGACATCAACGGAGAAGGAGCCTCGATACAAACCAGCCGTCATCGTGGACGATGTTGTTGATGCTGTGGTTTGGGCGCTCAACAACGAAGGCATCAAGGCTACCAGGGAATGGGTCTTGTCCGCTCTGTCGCACACGAAGGGTTATGTTAAGCTGCCGCCGCTGGAGATTGGAGATCAGGTTGGTAGCCTCGAAGATGGAGTTAAGTACCCAAGTGAGTTGGAGGCTGCTGAGGCAAGACTGTAGAAAGTGTGCAATCATATACGGATTTTCAACACTTGACGCAGAACATGAAGCGTTTCCATTAGAATTTAGGACAATAAATCTCCAAATCTTTCCGGTGGTTGCTTACTTCGAAATCTCAAGGCTGACTTTTCAGGGGGGGATATCTTTTTCCAGACCTTGTACCAAAGCTGAAAAGAGTTGATCATACCTTGAGTGAAACAGGGGGCACATATGCAAGAGGAACCCTCCCAAAAGAAGGTCCTTCCCCGTTGTAGATACTGTTGGCGCTAACCAGCTCCTTGGCTGCATCACAACCAACAACACCAACATGGTGTCAGACCACTCAATGAAGGAGGTTAACTGAGCTGTTCGAAGGCCAATTGATCTGGGCAACGAGAGTTGTAAGTAAGTGAGAAAAGAAATTCTATTTCTTCCGTCCCCTCGAAACCTCCAGTTGTTCATCATCTATTTACCACGTAGACTCGTCAATCTGGTGACAGTTCGCATCTTTGATCTGGACCAGGGTCACGCACATGGGGCGTCACATCCTGGCCTCAGCTGCATTCGATTCAGTTCGCTCGTGACCCCCTGATCAAGGATGGCCCAGCCCCCTCGAAGGACGAAAGACATAAAGAGTATCAAAAAGTCTCTCGTCAAGGAGTTCCTCACTAATAACTTTCCTCCTCCAACTTGTCCCTTGCGAGCCCTCAACTCGTCAGCTTTGATGTCCCAGCTGCTCCAGTATAACGAATCTCTGGCAATAGTTTCAACTACTGGCAATGAGTCCAGCTCACAGCTTCTCCGAGGCTTCCAGAAGCCTTTATCAGGCGTTAGGCATCCCACAGACTGGAGCAATCAACTGCTTAGCCGGGACGGAGATCCAGAGCCAGGACCTTCACAAGCTTCCATAATGGCGACGAAGATTTATTAATCCCATTGTCAAAACACTGGAAGTTCAAGAACCAAACGATGAAGACCAGAAGAGCACGATTAAGGCTTCTCTTCTGGAATTGGCTAAGAAACTCGTCTGCTGCGGACCAAAAAAGCGACATACAAACACCCTCGTATTTGATGGAGCCAACTTTTCGGACCCCGTGGAATATGTTCATGTCTTGTTGGCTAGGAGGTTCTGAGACTGGCTCAAGATGAAGAGCAAAGAAAGACTGTTCACAGAACATCCAAGGCTGGTTCGGTATTCTCAAAAATCATCGACTTCCCTCCGAGAACGTGGAGTAACGCCTACGAGCAAACGAACTTCGGATCAAAGTCAAGGTTTTATCGTTTACGACACAGACGACGACGAGTACTCAGGTGACTATTTAAGCGATGATATAATCGAGTCAATTGAAGAAGAAATTGATTTGAGTAACGAGGAATTCGGTTCAGAAGAAGATTCTGAAGATGAAGAGATAGGCGAATGTTCCCGTCAGAGGTCTATACAGCCGGAACTTCGACGCCCTAAACTTACTAGGGAGAGCCCACTGAGTGAAAGAGAGATTCCCAGGACGCCTTCAAGAAACCAAGATTCGAGGTATCGCAGCATTTGTTCCAGATCACCAGGCCCACTATCATACCCAACACCGACGGACGATGCATTCCTTACTTCACCAGGGTCTGTCAACTCGCCAGATCCCAGTGAAATCTTCACTCCATATTCGACAGTGTCGACACCATATTCTATCATGAGCACTGGGGGATGCGAAACCCCACGATCTTCTTTTCGCCAGAGCTCCTACAACGAACGGTATATGGAGAGTCCAACGTGCAAAAAGATGCAGGCAGTTGACGACCTCCTTTCAAGTGATACGATGAGGAAAATGAAACTCAACGTGGATGACTTGGGTAATGAGATTGAGGAAGCTGAACCAGATGTGGAGTCATTGCGCAGTTCTTCCTCTCGTCGTTCCATGACGTTCGATGACACGGAAAAATCGCCAGTCCATGGTATTATGAATCGACTGGTAAAGCGAGTTGAAGTGAAAAACTTGGGGTCTGGGTATATATATTGCTTCGCCGAAAAGTCAAAGCCTGGATACCTCAAAATTGGATACGTAATATGTCCTGAGCTCAGCAAGCCTGATCGTGTTGAACAGAGGATGGAGGAATGGAAGAGTGACTGCAAACATAACTTGGTCTTCAAGTTCAAGGTCTTCATGCCCTGTGCTGTTCTGAAGATGGAGAGGTTGATTCATCAAACTTTACACAGAGAGAAAAAGGCTGCCTCATGTCCCAATTCAGCCTGCCAAAAGACGCACCAGGAATGGTTCAAGACTACGGAAAATCAGGCACGCCAAGTAATCGAGGTCTGGCAACAGTTCAGCAGGTTGGACCGGTATGACAAAAAGGGCGTTTTGAGGGATCCTTGGGCGCGATACAAACTGACATAGCTGAGCGATGAGTGTCTCTGGAATACCAAAAAGTGGTTAGCCACAGAGTGGGTTAAGTTGATCACCGAGGTTGTTGAGAAAGACTTGGCCGCGAAGCGAGAGAAGAGAAGAGCCGTGGAGCGACGGCTCGCGAAGATGGAGCAACAACTTGCACAGATGAAGGAGGATGAAGAACCTATTCAGCAAATGCTGGGTGTGTTAAGGCTAAGCAACGAGTTTTGATATGTATGCACAGTTTGGGCATATTCGAGTTGTAAGTTTACCGGATTGGACGCTTGTCGATGGCAATGTTACATCTGGCCAAGTTATTGCGTTTTATATCAGTAAGTATTATTTCATCAGCTATAGTATTGGATAGTCAAGATGTGAAAGATCAAGTATTGTGACACTCATGAGTCGTCCTGTCCTATACGGGTACACCGGAGGCTATGTGAGTAAGTATTACATATCCACGTACGTAGCACGAATGTGTAACTTGTCAGAATGAGGCTGTCTCGTCTCACCTCGCTGAAGACAAAACGTTAAATCTAGAGCGTGGGGGACACTTGAATGGATGAGATGTGTTACCTGAAGAAAGTACCACAACCACACGAGACCCTCACTAGAGAGAGAGACGTAGGACGACGTTATGCCGAGGGTAGCCCCCCACGGCTTCGGTGCCCGAGAGCGGGTCAATAGTTTCCGGGGCCGGCAATATAGGTCCCGGAGAATACGAACAGACCAGCATCCAGCACGGAAGGAAGAAAAGAATTCACATCAATATCGTCAGAGGGACCCTGAAGGTCTTGGCGGTGAAGCGGGAGCATGTGAGACACTTCCCAAAACTGCCACCGAGGTCACCCTAGTGCCGCACTACGTCACCCTTGTAGGACCGGGTCTGGAACCTCTAACGCTTCCTGACAGCCTCTCTCTGTTGGTTTACTGTAGGCATCCATTGGATGTTTCCTGTTTTCTTCGGTGACGCTTTTTAGAGAAACCTCCAGTTAAGCAGCACTGGTCGTCAAGAATTCGCCTCTTTTGGTGACGTGGAAGGATTGTTCCTGGTTCGTGATCTCTTTATTCTTCCTTGAACGTTAATGCTGTGACGTTTGGGTTATGTAAGGGAAAGAGAGCCAGTCTAATTAAACGGTCCAGATCATGTGGCCTTTTTTTTTCTTGGTGAACCTGGCGTGCGTCTCTTTTTTTCCTTTATATAATTGGTATCACTCTCTTATCTCGTGCTTCTATCAATTTCTATCTTGTTAATTCACCACTTATCTTTATTCTCCAGGCCTTTATCTTTTTGTTTGATGATAACCATGTCATTTTAAACTTCAATCAAACGCCTCAGCTCACAAACCAGCCAATACGAATAAGTCGTTTCGATACCCCAAGTCCCTGGTTCTGCTAAGCGCACCCCCTCTGCGTCTACCGCAGCCACAAGCGAGAGCCCAGAGCCAGTGACCCTTGGGCCGCTTTTCTACTTTTGGGAGAGAGGGGGATCTTGCATCTGTATCCGTACCCGTACCTACGCCTCAATTCTCTACCAATTCTCCTCCCCTTCGTCCTCTCTCTTCTCTCACACCGCGACTCACACTCACTTCTCTACTGCAACTCTCACAGCACACAATCTTCACACATTTTGTGATTCGTTTTGACAACTCAGAATCCTACTTCAGAAGGCAGAAACCCCTCCCCCGCCATGTCTGCGGTACCGAGCCCCACGATCAACGGCTCGTCTGTTCAGCAGCAGCCATTGCGCTCTGCTCTCAAAAACGAAGATGACGTCGATCGTCCGTGTCCCTCAAGCGGCTCTCTCAAAGGTGCGTTGTAACTAGGTCTTCACTCAAGCGCCTTGCTTTAAATGGTGTTCATATCTCGCATCTCGTTTTCCTCAAAAATATAACGGATGAGGGAAAGCATCACTGGGTACTTTGCCAGCTGTGACGTGGGTTCAAATGCAAGAATGCTATACCTGAACACCCAGAATTTGTAACTTCGCTCCCACGGTTATGTCTACTCATATCACAATATCTCCCCTGCTATCCATCTTATCCTGCATGCTGTGCTTGTGTTTTGTCACCAAAAGCTTCAATCAAAATGATCCAAAGCTCATACATCACAGCTGTCCAGATTGCCGAACCCGAGTCCGAAATTCAAACCCTCGAGGATGACACCCAGCCCACCAAGCAATTTCCTACCAACCTCAGGCGACGCCTGAGTGGTAAACCTCTACCGTCTCCCCTTCCCAACAGCTCCTCTAGGTCTTCCTTTAGCGACAGTCCTTCTGGCAGCCGGCCTGAAGAGACACCTCCTACTTCGAACCCTTCTTCGCACCACCACCACGGCCATGGCCACGCCCACCGTGGGCAGTATTATAGTGAGAAACTACTCGCCCAGGTAGGAGATTGGTTGGAGCATGAGCGTGCCAAGGCACACGCCAGGAAGTCACAGAAGACGCACCGCAGGCGCAAGTCCAAATCGCCAACTAAGGATACGAAGGGGGGAAGCACTGCGGAGGTCGAACCCGAACTCCAACAGGCTCAAGCACCTGAACAAGGCAGCAATGGACGACCTCGCTCCGATTCTCTGGACTCTGACTCAAGTGATATCTCTTTTGATCGACTTCAGCGTATTTTGGAAGAATCCTTAGCCCACATGGGTCTCAACTCTGTGCCTCATCTGACTCCTAAGGTGTCCCGCCCTAAGCATCGAAAAGTCCCATCTCGATCCTCTCTTCGTGGCCTTTCTTCCGACACTGAATATGCCGACGGCGATGCCGTTGTACCCAGCTGCGATGTCTGGCTTGACAACTCTAAGACGATGAGCTATGGAGGTGGAGCCGCGGATGATGACGACCAGGAACCAACCGATGCCGATACCAGGGCTGATAAGGAGAAGGAGTGCTGGCTTAGCTTCAAGAATGAAATCATCCGCATCGCCCATACGTTGCGACTCAAGGGATGGAGGCGTATTCCCCTCGGTGGTGGCGATAAGATCTCCGTTGAGAGGCTTAGTGGTGCTTTGACCAACGCTGTCTATGTCGTCACACCACCAAAGGAAATCGATGAGGCGGAGGGTAAAAGAAAGCCCAAAAAGGTCCTTCTACGCATTTATGGTCCACAGGTCGAGCATCTCATTGATCGAGACAACGAATTGTCAGTCTTGCAGAGATTGGCACGCAAGAAAATTGGACCTCGCCTATTGGGAACATTCAAGAATGGTCGTTTCGAGCAGTACTTTGACTCTATCACGCTTACACCGGCGGACCTTCGAGATGCCGACATGTCCCGTCAGATTGCCAAGCGAATGAGAGAGCTTCACGACGGTATTGACTTGCTCCCGCACGAGAGGGAGGGCGGACCGGCAACATGGAAAAGTTGGGATCAATGGCTCGATAATGTCGAGCGAATCGCAACTTACCTTGATAATGAGTACGAGAAAGAAGCTCAAGCTCAAAACGGTCGACGCGACTCTGTTGTGCATGCCTGGAAATCGAGAGGCTATGTATGCGGCACTCCCTGGCCTCAGTTCAGGGACACGATAACCAAGTACAGAGTCCATCTCAACAGTTTTTACAAGGGGGGTCAACGAGAGATCAAGGACAGCCTCGTCTTTGCCCATAGCGATGTAAGTTCATGAGAATGCGCCTCACAAGTCTCTTTGTTAACAAATTTTAAGACGCAATATGGAAATATCCTCCGCATTCGCCCTGATGACGAAAAGTCACCCTTGCTTCAGGCTGCTAACAAACACAAACAACTCATCGTCATTGACTTTGAATATGCGGGCCCTAATACTCGTGGTCTCGAGTTTGCCAATCACTTCAACGAATGGACGTATAACTACCATGATGCTGCGGTACCCTGGGCGTGCGATGTGCGACGATATCCCACCCCGGATGAGCAACGCCGTTTCATCAAGGCTTATGTCGATCACCGTCCCCGGTTCCAAGGCAGCAATTCCACCCCCCGACTGGCGCCCGCAGATAGCAACGCGTCGAGCGGCATGTCTACGCCACTTGCGACACCTACCAACCCTCCAGCGAGCAGCTCAAGCTCCATTGTCGAGTTTATGCTTGATGCGCGAGTACCCCCCGGAGGATGGAGCGCCGCGGAACGGGCCAACGAAGAACGAAGCGACCAGCGCGTGCGAGAGCTGTTGGAGGAGACTCGACAGTGGCGCCCGGCCAATCATGCTCACTGGATCGCGTGGGGCATCGTACAGGCCAAGATCCCAGGTCTCGATGAAAATGTCAAGGAAGAAGATCTGCTGAGCCCCGATGAGTTCGATTACTTGAGCTACGCCCAGGATCGTGTCATGTTCTTCTGGGGTGACTGTGTGCGCATGGGGCTTGTCAAGCGGGAGGAGCTCCCTCCCCTGCTGCAGCAGTCTATCAAGACTGTTGAGTACTAAAGAACAGCCATCAAGTTCTCTGAGAAGAAACATATTTCGGCGGACACGGCATACACACTAGGTGAGTGCGTTCCGACTTAAGACTGTGGCACAACCAGATGTCTCCTTTGACTACATCGTTCTGGAAAGCTAGAGCACGTTTAAAACTTTCAGCGTTGGCAAGCTCAGCATGCTAGAATCATCATGCAATGATCTGGATTAAAGATTTCCGGTTCTTAAATTCCCACGGGTAATTTTTGAAGCTTGCGCGTTGAGCATTTCAATTGATACCATTTTGATAAACTGCGGTCTTATCAATGCATTTCGTCTCTTCTCGTGAATCTAATGCTTGTTTTTATGCTGTATGTGAACGACAGGCCGTAAGTCTTGTAAACGTGATATCTATGGCACAGTCCTCTATGCATCAAGCTTGAGTCGCTCAAGCATGGCATCGATCTTGCGCTGCAGGATCTGGTAATTGATGGCGTCTGAAACAAACTCGTCCTCTGCTTCCGCTCCATCTAACGTCCTCACAACCTGTCCGCCATTGGCTTGTCCATTGCTATCCTTTTTAACCGTGTGTTCAGTATTAGTAGAAACGCCGTTTGTCGCATCTGCCGAGATCTCAGCTTGTTGCGCCATCGCAGTAGCTAGTTCGGCATCGATCTCTCCCTCCTCATCCATCATGTCTTCCAGACCTGCATCCTCAAAGCGATATCTGAATCGATCATCCAGGTAATACCGAATATCGTCCAGCAATTCGATAGTATCTGTCTCTTCTCGAACAGTGATCCGTTGGGCAGACTCTGCAATGAGAGCTTGGAAGTCTTCCTCATCTATGTAGTCCTCTAGGCGATATGCAAGATAACGCGCAGCGAATTCTTCTAATCGCTGGACACGAAGATCCCATGCTGCGTGTATAACGTCATATATGTTGACGGGCTCCATCTCTATTTGTTCATCCTCTTCGCCTGCCTTGTCATTTCTTTGCGCCTCACCATGAGTGCGGTCTACCAACACATTGGAGGTGCCACTACCGAGCGTGCTGATGGTCAGAGCAGCTTTGCTCTTAAGATTATCAAGGAACAGCATATCTGCAGCGTATAGTAGATCCAAAGCGTGCTCGAGGGGGCACCTTACAGTCTCGGTGTAGAGGTAAGTAAGGATGATTTCAAGAACAGCGGGCGTACAGTCGACGGTAATGATTCGGAGATGTTCATCTCGTTTGGACTCGACGAAATCGCCCGAAAACATCCTCTCGAAGTACTCGCTGCGAATAAGCATTGCCTTATGAGCGGGGTAAAGGACTGATTTGCGTTTGATGACTGATTCTTGATCTCCGGCTGGGCCAATCGGTATAGTAGGGGCGTCTTTTGTGGGCGTTGTCTGACCAGACTTTTCATCCTCGATATCGATCGGCTCATCAGCGCGGAGGATGACATCTGCAAACATTGAGTTGTCATATTTCCACTTAATATCTTTTATCTGGTCCGTATCAACAACCATCTTGAGTCCGAGGACATTTAGTTTGAAGAACTTCTTGAACTGTCCTCGAGCTCGGTCAACTTCAGATTGATGCCGTTGGCGAGCAAGTCTCCTGTCTCCGCCTGCGAGGATAGTCTCCCATAGAGATTCAACCTCGAGCTGCTTGCTGACCTTGTCTAAACCCTTGAAAACTTCTTCTTCAGAGTCAGCACCACCCACAGGTGCGATATCACGAGGAACTTCGCCCAAGTAGAGATATCTCAAGACAATGATAAAAGACTGCACAGGTACAGCGTTGGCAAGTCTCCAAGTCGTGGTATCTGGGACAGCAGCAAGTTTAGCACGGAAATAAGGTGAACGTGCTATAAGGATGAATTTGTGAAGATCAAAAGAACGAGAGCCTGAGACTAAGGTGATATCTGTTGTCTTGGGGCTTGTACGGCCAAGAAGAGTTGAGATATGAGTTGACCAATAGACATAGGGATCTGAGGACTTTGAGAAGTCATATTGAAGGAGAAGGTTGCGGATACGATCATTGAGGGCGTTGTAGATGCATCGTTCGCCTTGGAAAGTATTTCGTTCCGCTAGGGCGCCTGGAGAGTGTTAGTGGATGACGGGATCCGATGAGTTGTAAGTGTTAGTTTGCAAAGACATTGTTTATAATGAAATTACAATAGTAACCAATTGTATAAGTGTAAACTTACCAGATTCTAATAATAGCCGAACAAGCTCATAATGTCCGCATAAACTTGCCTACCTGTGTTAGTCCTAATCTCTGATGACTTACATCTCCAACACTTACAATGATGAGAGGCGTGTAATCGAAACGATCCTTGCCATTGATGTTCACACCCTGGCTGATGAGTTCTTGACATCGTTTCAGATCGCCATGTCGACACGCCATGAGAAATTCATTGAACTCAGGGCTCTCGTCAAGAGGATTCTCCTCAAGGAGGACGCCACTCTCGATGAGCCGAGTTTCTTCGCCAAGCTTTCCCTCGAGTTCGAATTTGCGGAGAACCATTGTCGAGTAAGAATATCAGAGTAAAGCTATGAAAGGACAGTCTTTTAGGGTGTCTATGAGTATGAAAAGAGGTTTATTTTTGTTATTGTTTTATCTCCGAAGCCCGCCCGCTCGTTTCTAGTTCATGATTATCAAAGCATGGGGATTCCCCCTCCAAGGAAAAAAGTCGCCATCATTACTGCGGGCTGAAATCAGCCAATGACGGGCTACATCTTTTTCGCATCGATGCTATCACGGGATCACGTGCTCAAACGCGTTATCTTTCTATCCAGACATCGAACATGGCTTACATGCATAACATTTAAGCCCGCTTCCTCCGGGCATTGTTGTTAACAATCATTCTTTGAGGTTGAAATCTGACGTATTTACTTGTTCGTTTTCATGTTCTCTTAATTTCTTGTTTGTCTTGTTTGATGATCTTTTTTTTGTTAACCTAGCAAAATGAAGCTTTGATTCAGTGCCACCACCCACATTCTCCTGCCAAGCTTCTCACTTAGCTGGCAAATTTGGTTCTTACATTCTTCAAACTTCACTCTTTATACGAATCGAAAACATGAGCCCCTTAAAGAAACTCATTCTTCTGGTCCTGTTTATCTCTTTTATGGTGTTTGTAGCCTTTTTTGGCCGAATACCTGCTCTGAGGTTCGTCTTGGAGTTGTCTCCTGTTTACCTCACTTAAGATATTGACTCGGGATAGACGAACGCCCATAGCTGCACTGCATAGGTTAATATGGATTCATATACCAAATGTGATCGGTAGGGTGGATCAGGTGCTCACGGGAGGGAGAGTATCGAGTTATCTGTCTCGGTTCAGCAACATGATGCTACATGAGCGACACTGGACTGTTGTGGTGAGTTGTCTTGCTATACCTTTCGTGAGATGGCAGCTAAAAAACAGTTCAGATTTTCTTCATGCTCATTATGGTTGTGGGCGAGTACATGTTTATTCCTCAAGCGTGGCCAAAGATTGGATCTTTCACCAGACTCATTGTGGTGATTACCGTGTTTTTGCCCTACCTATTTCTCTACCTGGCATGCTCTGCTGATCCAGGCTACATTACGCCTGAAAATCACGCCTATTACATGTCGCTCTATCCCTACGACCACACACTTTTCCACCCGGGGCATATGTGTCGTACGTGCAAGTTCCTTAAGCCTGCTCGTTCCAAGCACTGCGGTCTATGCAAACGTTGCGTTGCCAAAGCCGATCATCATTGCGTCTTCATAAACTCATGTGTTGGTTACGGAAACCAGCACTGGTTCATACTGTTACTAATCTCTACTGCATTTCTGTGCACATATGGTGGCTTTCTTGGATTGTCCATTATTACGGTACGGGTTCAGAGATACACTCCTGGCTGGTCTGTATGGAAACCCCGAGGTATGACAGTCAGTCAGTATTTGGCTGGTTGGGGTTGGGGCATTCAAGACAACGTCAACATGGGGGCCTCGTCACTCCTTGCAGCTCTGACGTCTCCATTGGTTTGGGGGCTGCTTCTATACACACTGTATCTCGTTTATTGTGGCACTACGACAAACGAGACCCTCAAATGGTCGGATTGGAAAGAAGATATGCGTGATGGTTTTGCATTTCGTCGCTCTATGCCAGCAAATCGTCAGAAGAACGAGCGGGTTGAGCCTCGCTTCACGCGCTGGCCAGTTGAGGTTCAGCAGGTCATTGTCACTACTCAGGATGGACAGCCCCCAAAGGATGAACTACGATATCCTGGAGAAGGCGACTGGGAGAGGGTTTGGAACTTGAGCGATGTCGAGAACTTATACGATATGGGACTGTGGGATAATCTGGTCGATATCTTTATCCCTGACTATGGATTTGGGAACAAAAATGACGAACCCAATGCCGAGAGACGGCGCAGGCGGTGATAACCTGTATATATAGTGAGTTGGTACTAGTCAGTGAACCGCACGCAGAAGGTGATCTGCAGGCTGACTGCAGGAGTACAACCCCTGTCCACGGATATCCAGGGCTGAGCACATGGATGCCCGCCTCAATGATGTAAGTCGCCAAGAGGTGCCATGATGTTTATTTCTTTCCTGAATCACCTGTGCCTGAAGCAACGATACAATTTCTTGTCTTCTCTCATGCTTGTTTTCGATTTTCAAGTAATGACCATTATACCGTGATGGCGTTGATGCAGCCACTTCAGGTTCGACGCCTGCAAATGCTTGGCACTCTTTCTCTACTTGCGATTGTTATCGGCGGCTCAGTCCTTATTTTTGTTGGAGTCAATGCGCTCTCCGGCCGCAAAGGACAAGAGGAGCTTGGGAGGGCACGGCCACCAGGTCAGGCTCGTTTCAGTGTTGGTCATGAATGGAGCATCCAGACCTGGATAGCCATTGTTGGTGTTGCCTTTGCTCTGCTATCTTATGGCTTTACAGAAGCATATGTTCATATATTCGATACATGGGCTAGTCGACAAGCTCGACGCAGCAATGGCCTCGACTATGCCCGGTATCTCAACTCTCAACCGCGAGCACCAGTCGTCTATGGCTTCAGAGGATTTCCCTCCTTTATCACTTTGCGGTACTTACTCGTAATCATGAGCATCATTGCGTCTGTGGGTTACAAGTTCGCTATTGTGAGCCCCGACGCCTGGATTAGGGAGAACTTTCATCCAAGATTAATCGAGTTCATCAAGAGTGAGCTTTCGGCAGTGAAGAACGGCTCTCTTGTCTCAGAACCTGAACCTTGGATCAATGACTTTCCGCTTTACGATATTAACCGGGCGTTTATCCACTTCAACCAGGACACTCAAGAGTCCCCCTATGTTGCGAACATGTCCCTGCCACCTAATGGTTTAGCTATGGTTGGCCATGCCAATTGCTTTTCAACCAGCAGAGCTGATCAATTCTACCCTGGTGACGTCGGGACGCTTTATACTCGAGAAGTGGTTTTAGTGGCCAACGGTTCAGTTGGCAAGGGTGAATTCTATATGACAGAGGATCCCGGCGACTGGCATCGAATGGAGACAACCAGCACCAACTGGTTTGATCCGCCTCGAAGGGCTCTGGTTGAGTATCGACTCGTCGAGTTCGGAAGCCTTCAAATCCAGTGGGCGAAGAAACCAAAGGATTCTTCAGAATCATGGAGAATACCGGTAGAGCACCGTTCCTTATACAAGATGGAGCTCGCAACCGCCGAAGTCAGGAGATACGTCAGAGACCAGAACTGCAGATTTCTGCCGCAGGGGGCTCTTTCGTTCCTGTCTCTTAGCAATGACACTTTTGAAAAGTCCATCGCTGCTGTGATGCCATCCTGGGGCAACATAACGGTCACAGAGCGCTTCAACGTCTCGGAACTGATGCCACAGTATGGCGTCTGGCTGGATGCTTTGGTAAAGAGCCCAGATACCACGCTTCTCAGCGGTGTTAGTGCAATTATCAGAGCAGTCATGGTATCTATCAAGACAACGAAGCTGCTGGACTCTGAGAACCTGAAGGCTGATTTCCTGCCTTTTGGGGAAGAAAGAGTTTTGGCTTCTGGCGAATCATTTCATAATGCTAAGTATCCTTTCTACGTTGGGTGGAGAGAGAATAAGAACACTGGGTGTCATATCAGTGCTGCCATCGTGTTCATTATCCTCGGCTGTTTTTCCATTATGGTTGGAATATACCGTATATGGCTTGGTCCGCCAGCTTTGACTTCCTGGATGGGACAGCATGTCTTTCTGGCTGGAACCGAGGCAATAGCTCTGTCTAATAAAGCAATTGGCTTGGCGTCTGGATACACAGTGGCAGAGTCTGATCTGGGCAAGCTTCGGCTTTCGATGCGAAAGGGAGGGGAAGAAGATGCCATGTTGAAACCCACTATATCATCTGATGGACAGCAGAGTGACTCGGAGGAAGCAAAAATAAAAGGACGGACGGGACGATGATGTAAGAGATACTACGCCAATACGCGAGGAACTAGCTGTACTTCAGGTAGCTTTTGACGCAATATGGCTCTGACCATTGATGCATTATTTCATTTTACTTTACTTTGCGTCTCTCATGATATCGTAACCACACGCTTCTAGGTCTTGTGTAGATCACCCAAGACGACTCTCGCCCTCCTCCGCCACAGCAGCGACTATGTAACCCCCCGTCACTACCCTCATCTAGAGAGCGAATTAACCTTGTATTTACCCCAACTCCACGACTCCTTGGTCTTGTAGCTTGCTTACAAAATGGTGCCGAAGCTACACACTCATAGTCAGTATAAGTAACCGAGCAAAGCTTTCAATGGGACTTACCCGAAAGTCTGCTTGATGCTCTTGACGTAGTATTCGAGCCAGTTACGCTTGGTAACATCCTCCTGGCCGATAGGAACACCCTCCCACTTGACTCGCATAACGGTAACGTGGTCGACGTCGTTCTGGTCAAACTCGATGTGCAGCTTGGAGAAGTGACCGGCAGGCCACTGGTTCAGTCGCCAGCTCTGGGTGATCTTCTTGGGCTCCTCAAGCTCGAGATACTCGCCAGACACATTGCCGCCGAACAGCTCAAACTTTCCACCGACCTTGGCGCCATCGAAGACCTTGGGGGGAGACCGTGTGAAAGCAGCAATTCGTTGAGGGTCGACAAAGGTTTGGTACAGCTCTTCAGCAGTAGTTCGGAACTCTTCGTTGTCGGTCACGGTAGTTGTGTTTACGACACCACCGGTCTTAGTTTGAGCGCTGGAAGTGGCAGCGGGCTTAGGAGTAGAGCTCTGAGGGTGGATCTTGGGAGTCGAGAAACCGCTCGACGGGTTGGAACCTGGGGCATGCTGGATATCCTTGCCATGCTCGGCGATGAGGGCGCCGGCAAGCTTCTGGAATTCCTGGCGCAGCTGAGGCACAATCTTTGATCGGACGAGATCCTTCACGGGCTGCTTCTCTTTGGACTCGGCAAAGATGTCTACGTCGAACTACGAGGGTTCTTAGCGAGGTTTATTCTACGGCAACACGGAAGGCGAAAGAGCAGGGGAGGTTTTACGTACCACGTACTCGTCTTCTTCCGTGTCGTGGGCGATCTCAGGCACAGTAATGGTACCAGAGACATCATCCTCACCGGGAGCAGATCCTGAATGGTTAGTTGTCATGCTTGCAGTCAAAGTCACCGCATTGCCTTACCAGAATATTGGAGCACCAGCTTAACGTCAAAGATGGTAATCACCTTGCCCTTGCGTTGGCTGACATCGACATCACCATCCATGCTCTGGATCTTATCAATCTTGGCCTTGACCTCGCCATCCTCGGCCTGAACCTTTGTGAGGCTCTCGTCAAAGTAGGACCTGGCCCATGCTGAGACGTCCTTGTTGACCCAGTGCCAGTTGTTGGGGTTGTGTAGAACCATTGTGAAGCCGGTCGAAGGGGTGTACTAAATGACTTTGAATCTGTTAGCTTGAACTCAAAACAGAAATTGATCGAGGTGAATATGCAAGAGTAGAGTCGCAATTGGAATCAGAAATGGTCTTAGACCACAGCATGTTGGTCATCAATGAAGGGAGTACAAGTCACTCTATGACTGGTGCCAGCTGGATATCTCATCATGGAAGATGCGACAATTGGTGCAAAAAAGTGTCGTGTGTACTTACATTTTAGTGAAGAAGGTATAGAGAAGATGTTGAAAGGAAAGAGAGTGAGCAGCGGTCAAAATGTCAATAAATAGCAAAAGAAAGGCAGAGAGAGAAGAGCAGAATATGAAGAGTTGAAAAGAGAGGAGAGTTTGTTGGAGAAGAATCCTCTAGAATTTTACTCGAGCCTTGTGCCCCCACCTTTTTCCAGTGTCCTAGAGCTAGCTTCAAGTGGGGCTCATTTCAGAGCAAGACCCAGCCTCGTCATTTTCATCCATAACCAAAACGTCGTCTCTTCAGCCTCGGTAAGAATATGCTTCCCAATGGTGGAATAAGAGATTACGGTGTAAGGACTTCTCAGAAGATATCTACGGAGGCGCACCCCAAAGAGAAATCGATGGTCCGTATTGTGTCAACTGACAGAGTTTTTTTTTTTTTTTAGTTTTTTTTAGTTTTTTTTCACCAAGATTAGGCCTTGTAATCGCAAGTGTCTTCCTTGCGAATGGCATCTCAATTGACGCAAGGAGACAGCTGCGCAAAGCCTTGAGGTTGAATACTCAGCGAAGTGACACTGAGCATCGGTAAGCTTTGAAGTTGTTAGTAGGCTGGCTCAGAATGCAGAGTGTCGGTTTGTAAGCAAGACGACACGCCTTTCAAGTCCGATAGCTTCCATATTGGTGAATTCGAACGCTCCAAGTCATGAAAGGTTTCGTGCGGATGGTCAAGAGTTATCAGAGAAACCTGATGGGGTAACGGGATAGAGGTTGAGAGCAACAACAACAGGCGCTACTGGACTTAAGTATCGCCGTCACATTATGACCATGCCTGATGCCTGCTTGGACAAGAGTACTTCTGTAATCAATTGACAGATCAGCTGTGATCTGAGAAGGCCATGTATCAGACTTGTCCGCCTGATATACTCAGTTGTGGAAAAGAGTGGTGTATGGGTTAGTCAGCCGGATCTGTGGAAGTATGCATCTTATACCATAGTTGATAGATCTATTCATAGAAACAGATCACTCGGAGTTTCACTCCAGCTTAGATTTATAAGCTATTGGTCGGCGACATTGGCTATGGAATCAACTCAATCAAGCATATCTTTGTTCTTAAACGGCCATGGCAGTCGAAACTTTATTTGTTGACCGTCTTTTGCGTTGTTATTTTGTTCTCTTCGGATAACTTGGTCCCCGGGGGCTTCAATGGCACTCTGCAGTCTGCAAGGAGTATTCACTTTAGCGATCAAAAGTCAACATCAGCCCACAGCATGAAAGCCCCTTGCACTTGGATCTCATGCAGCAGTTCGATCCAGCCATGCAAACGTCTTTTCGGTCATGGGTCTCGAGAGTTTCAGAGAGTAAAGAAATGTGACAGGCAGCGAGGGACGTCGATTAAGCGCCGGCATCCACACTCAACCCGCATAGTCAATCCTTGCCAGCCAATAGAAGCTGTGGGATGAGTCTAAGAATAGAACCACCATGGATCGCTCCAAACTTAGCATCTCTGCAAGTCTATCCCAACCTTTCCACTCAGCGGGGTCGGACGAGGAAGATCAAGCAAGTCCTTCAGCTTCCATGTGGGATATTCAACGTCTTTGTATGGTGACAGGCAAGCAACATGACTAGCTATGTGTTGATATTCTGCTTACAGTACCCCGTACCCAAAAGAAATATTAAAAAGGCACAAGCCAAGCAGCGCTCGACTGCTTAGTGACCATCCTTACTACACCAATGCATCCTCTAGGATCTACAGATACCCCAACCAGGATATATAAAGAACGCCATCTTTCAACTTTGTCAGCTGAGTTACTCTGCAAGAAGCGGTCGAAGGTGCTCTGTCATCCTTAGTAGAATCCCCTCAAGCTGAACTAGTGCCTGATAGTGAAAGCCATGCTTGTAGATCCTCCGTTTCTATTGCCAATTGGCCGTGGGCAAAGTTCCCATGAAGCATCCCATGTAGTCTCTCTTTGTCCCACCCTCAGATAGCGTCCATCATCCATGCCCATGCCACTCCATTTTCATTGTGCCGATTCTCGACCCCCAGCAAGTCTCTCCCAAAGCAGGTACACACTGTAGGCAGGGCTTGGCTCACCGGCAATAAACAGAAAACCGAGAATGGTTTCCAATTTATCTACTTGAGAATGTACTTACTTTTAGCACTTCACTCCCGCTGACACCGCCAAAAATTGAGGTGTCGTGATTTCAACATTTTACCGTAAAGGTACCTTACGCAGGGGTCTATCTCATGCTGCTACTCCAACTGCAACCTGTACATCCATTTCCCTTTACAGAGCCCCTCTCCCAACCACTTTCTCTCTTTTCACCTTTCACATCCAGTCCAATCCTCAATCACATCTCTGTTTCTTATTTGGTTGGTTGCGCAATTAGGGGACGTACTCTTCGTCCTCGCCGCAGCTACGGTGAATGGCTTGATGAGAAATATTCGTTACGTCCTTGTCAATTGACCAACATCGACAAGTTGCAGCGTCCTTTACACACTGAGCCTCACCTGTAACATACGTCTGTCAGGTCTCTCTTCGTGCGTCCACCTCAAACGGCTGTACGGTGCCGGGTCAGATCAAGAGTGATCATAGTCATACCTATTCCTTGTCGTCTCAAAATAGTCTCGACTGCTTCGATCCTCACCTGAGCATCGACTCACTCTACTGCTGCTGCTCGCACGCGCCGCCCACCCCGCGGATCCATCCAATCCCTAGCACCCCACGTATCAGAACCAACCGACCAAAGAGACAGCCCTGATACGATACCCAGCTGTTTCTAAGTTGGACGTCCCTCATCCTTTGGTGTTGTGGCTTGAAACAGGGACCCTGGACCTGGCGCTCGAGTGAATTCTTTGTCCATACTCGCTTGGTCCCTCTGATCTTTCATCATGACTTCTCACGAAGCGGCGCGACTCCGTCAGGGCCTTCTTCCTCTCACGACAACGTCTGTAGGTGCCTTCAACAACCCTCTACATACGCCCATATCTGCCGTGTCCATGAGCTCCAGTCATTTCCAGTCCGCTGCCCAAACACCTGGCAGTAGTATACAGCCATACAACCCCCAAGAATGGGTTCCCACACAGGCTGCCGTCGCCGAGCGCGCCGTTCAATACGCCGGCGAAGTCCAAGGCAAGTGACTAGAAAGAACAAAACATCATGTTATCGCTAGCGTTCTAACATGCCTCAGTGTCGCCAATGCCGCCTCCGCCATACAGTCCGCCCAGAAGTCAACAGCAGCGTCCCATGAGTACCGTCTTCGACTCTACACCAGCTGGTACTCCGACTCCGCCACCTCGACTAAACACAATGGTGCATCGACCTTCACCTGAACCAGCCAATGCATCTTTTCCTCCTCCTCCGGGTGTTAATGGGCGAAATGGTTCACGAGATCGCCGTTTTCTGCCATCCTTAGGTCGTCGGAGAGATATGGACACTTCTAGTACTCCTCCACCTCAACCGCCGCCTCCCCAAAACCATCGACAGAGCATGATCGTGCAAACTTCGTTTCATCAACCTGCTCCCGAACATGGAATGGCTGGTCCTATGATTCACGGGCCTCCGGCGGCTCGGAGAGCCGTATCTGCAGGAGCCGTGGAGACACCCACATCTGCTCGCTCACGATCGGCATCTCAGACCAGATGGGAACCAGGCATGCCTCTCCCACCTCCACCCCCTGGGCCCCCGCCTGCTTCAAGCAGGTCGCAAAGTGTACAGTCTATAGATAGGAACACAGTCCCCATCATATCTCCTCCCACAAAAAGACGCCGACCACCAACCGGCGTCACAGAACTCGGGCCTGTTCCTCCAACACCTGCGGATTGGAACGAGACAGGGAGTCAAGCGGGCCCGTCAAACAGAAGCCGTTCACCGGGCCTCAGGATTGACACGTCGTTACCATCCTCCCAACCTGTTGAACCTGCTCTGGGGTCCTCATCAAGTATTGGCGGGCTCAATCGGCAAAAGGCAGTAAGACATGATAAAACAATTTTGCAGCGGAGGGCTGAGAGTCGGACCCGACATAGCGTCCGTGGCTCTATAGATGAACGGACCCGACCCGATTCTATGGCCGACATTATGGTACCAAATACGACTGATCTGTCACGGACATCAATCGGTAAATCAACCCCTCTAAGTGATGCACTCGCATCGCAAGACTCTCGAAACTCGACCCCTAGAGCCCCAGCATCAGGGAAGCTGCCTCAGGAAGCGGAAACGCCACCTTTCTCTCCCAACGCTTCTAAGCAACCGATATACACCAGCAGCTCAAAAGTTGTTGCTCCGAAGGCGCTCCCTACTCCACCTCCCAGATCCGGATCTGTGGCATCGGTCTCGAGGGTTCGGGAGTCTTCCCGGCCCCCTTCTGCTGGCCTGTTAGTATCGAAACATTTGGTTACGACTCAAACTGCCGATCAGTTTGAAGAAGGGACTATCGATCGGTTCCGCGAATTTGCGATTAAAGAATCGAGGGCCGCTACTGACGCGGACAGGGTGCGTTTATTCGCCGACTTTGTTGTCAACGAATCAAGGATCAGACGAGAACGATATTCTGTCGCTATTGGGGCTATGGGCTCCGAGATCTTTGACCTCACCCGCGACTTGTTTCGGCCAATGGTCAGCCAAAGGCGAGAATCAGCCTCTTCACAGGATCAGTGGACCCCTGGGCTATCCGAACCAGGGCCTTCTCGTCGAGGCTCTACAGGTTCGAACTTTGGGGAAAGTCCTCAGTCTACCTCCAAAACAGTCAATGTCCCGACGTCGCCGAGTGGGAACAACCCACCAAATGTGAACTGGTCAAGCAATTACATGCCCTCGTTATCTCCAATCTTGAGCATGAGCGTCAGCGAAAACTATGAAAATGGCAGCTCACGAGGTCGTCCTCCGAGCCGTTGGTGGGAATCAGATTCGCAAGGCGAGGCTTCCCATTTAGGAAGATCCAAGAGAGAGTCGAAGTATATGGGCGTAACCAAGACACAGTGGGTTGAAGAGGACCGACCGTCTGTGGTATACGAGGAGCAAGGCTCTTCATCCGAGTATCCTCCTGAGAAGACGGGCTGGCATGATCAGTCCGAGCCCAACTTGACTCCTCAACAATTTGGCTTCGCCACCACCTCAAACATGGGCTCAAGTCCCTGTTCGACGATCAACCGCGACCACCTAGATGTTTCCCGCCTTGTCACCATGCCTCCTCCTTACCCAAGGCACCATCCCGCTGTCAACAACAAGCATCCCGAGTTGACATCCATCAGAACAGCCGTGCGAGCTTTGAGTCAGCTCGATGAATTGGCCAAGACAAAAGAGCGATTCGCTGTTGAGAGCACCAAACGTCGAGAACAATTTTCCAAAGCAGCGTCTGAGCGCCGCCAAGCTTTGCGTACAAACTTGCAGAATGAGATCAATGCTGGCAGCTTGAGTTATGCAGACGCAGGAGCTATTGATGCTGATGCAAAAGCCAGCGAGATAACAAAGAAAAAGGAGTTGGAAAAGACCGAATACGAATTGTTCCAGAATCAGGTGGTACTGCCTTTGAACGAACTACTGACAGGGCGTATCTCGGGCGCCACAGAGTTGTTTGACGATCTAGCCCGACATCTATTTGATAACGGGCAAATAGACGCAGACATGCCGCAGGAAGAGGGTGACGATAGACCAGAACTCCTGGAAAAATTGACGCTGCTTAAATGGGTCTTTGAGGCACGAGAGGGTCTTTACCGGGCCATCTACGATCTTCTTTCAGATCGCAACGGCCGATACTGCGAGGTTGTACTGACTCCTTACCGACTTTCCGGGAATACTGAGAAGCTCAAGTCAGCTGAGGCTTTCTTCGCTGAAGATTCGGCCAAGCGTGAATATGCGTTCGCTCACGAGGTTCTGGAACGGACCCGAGACTTCCGAGGAGTGGTTGAAAAGGCTGTGGACCATGGTGTTGCACTGCAGCTGTCGGCGTTTTGGGATATTGCGCCTCCGCTTTGTGAGCTACTGGACAATATTCCTCTCGATCTTGACGGTTTCAACATTCAAATTCCAGCATCGGAAATCGAGGAAAATCCATCCTACGTCGAGCATCCGATGCAATATCTTTTTAGCTTGTTGCTTCACGCCGAGAAGAGCACATACCAGTTCATCGAATCACACACCAACCTGTTATGTCTGCTTCACGAGGTCAAAGAGGCTGTGGTTCACGCCAAGGGCAAGGTCCTCGAGACGCAGACCCAGGATGAGAACGGAAACCCAATTCCCAAGGCTGATAGCAATGCACAGGCGCTGCAAATGCGACGATTAGAAGAACGCCGACTTACTGAGGATCTGAAGGAGAAGGTCCGTCTAGTTCAAGATCAATGGAAGAGCGCACTAGGCGATAACATTACGCTCGTGAAAGAGCGACTAGGAGGGTGGTTGTTGCAAATGGGCGGCTGGGATGAGTCGCTCGAAGACAGAGGTGTTGGCAGTGTCTAGAAGAGTACCTAAGTGAAGTGAGTAGACGTTGATACCCCTGAGCCAAATGGGCTTGATGATTGGAAACGATATTATTCAGTATATAATTTTTTGATCCTGGACCAAAGATGTCCTTTTATATGAGATATGATGATGAAATGGTTGGTTCTTTATTATCGAGTGATGCCTGGGTATTGCGCCTGTCTCTTCTGTTCCATGGTACATTTATTCGTACACTGAAGGGTTGTGGGCTGAATTTGAGCCTTTTTCTCCACCGCCATATTCTTGAGTTCTGGATACCTTCTGGCCTATGCTCCCATCTATAGATTTGCTTGGTGCTTCGTGTTTCGCTTCATCTGATGGGTTGGCAAGTCATGGTTCGTGTCTCTTTGATCATTCGTGGCCCTTGGAGTCTTTTCCCGCCCTTTCTCCCGTCTCTTTTCTCATTTCCATTTCGCAGTCCACCATTTACTTATACTCAACTGGCAGATCCATGCCAACCCTCCTAGCAGTCAAGCGAACACGCTCCTCCTCATCCATACCCATGCCAGGGTTATAACGCTCGAGTAACGTGGCGTACATGCGCTGAGATCGAAGATAGGCGATGGCCTGGACAGCAGCGTGGGCGCGGGCGTCTTGCGATGTCGCAGCCTTGGAGCTGGAGGAAAAGGAATCTCGAAGGTGGGAGTGAAGAGGAGAGCGTGGTGAGGCGAGAATGGGTCGAGGTGGTAGCTCGCGGAGGAGGGAGCGGTAGAGAGAGCGTAGTGAGGCTGGAGATGAGGCCATTTTGGATGAGTTTGGTAGGTCGGGGGGAGACAAAGAGGATCGATGGAGTGGAATGTCAAGTTGAGATGATGCTTCTCGATTGATTGCATGAACTGAATAGAATTGATGCTTGAAAAGTCCGGCCAATCGGGTGGTTCCGCTATGAGCAGGGGAAGAAACTGTTAGCGGGATGGGAGAGAGAAATGCCCCTCCTCATCGATATCGGAGTTCTGATGGCGGGGTTGGCTTGAGAGAGCTATCTTGCCATTGTATGACTAGCAGTAGAGCTTTCTTTATGGATGTATATAATTATAAACCTAACTTAAATTTGCTGTTTAAGACGTATCAATCTAGAAGGGTTCCTCTTGAAATAAATCTTAATTTGATTGACATAGTCGAGCTACATTCCGCTTCTGGTCACGCCATAAGTGAAACAACTCTTAACGTCGCAGCTTACATAGGTAGACTTGACTTCAGACTGCCCAACAACTCATCCCACTTCTTTTTCTCTTTCTCTTCCTCTTCCTCTCTCGGATCAATCAATCAATCCACATCCCACTCTAATTAGACCCAATTGTCTTCACCTCGAGCCCGACGACCCGCCCGACGACCCGAAAGAGACCAACCAGTGTCTGCTCTAACACCACCATAAAAAACACAAGGACAATTGCGCCATCCCACGTTACTTAGTAGCTAGCTTGCATTGCGTTGCCTTGTATGCCCACTACTACTCCAAAGTTCTTCTTGTCTAGATCCTTTATCCTTTTCTTATTGACCCTCATCCTGGCCATCCTTATCTCGCCCGCCTTCATCCCCCGTCTCCGCCAACTCTCTTCCCATCTTATCCTTCTCCAACGACCGCTCACAACCATGGCGTCTCCATCCTACGCCTCAGAGCTTCAGATCGCCCAATTGGCCGTTCAGCGTGCTACGATCCTCACCAAGCGCGTCTTCCATGAGAAGGCAAAGGGAACCGTTGACAAGAATGACAAGAGCCCTGTCACCATTGGCGACTTTGGCGCCCAGGCCCTCATCATCGCCGCTCTCCGCCACAACTTCCCTGACGACGCTATCGTCGCTGAGGAGGAGGCTGCGCAGCTCCGTGATGATGCGAACCTGAAGCAGACTATCTGGGAGCTCGTCAGCTCTACAAAGCTCGACGATGAAGACGCTGAGAAGCAACTCGGTGGTCCTATCAAGGATGTTGATGATATGTTGGAATTGATTGACAGAGGTGGCAGTCAGGGTGGTTCCAGCGGTCGTATCTGGGCAATTGATCCCATTGACGGCACAAAGGGCTTCCTCCGTGGTGGGCAATACGCTGTCTGCCTTGGTCTCATGGTCGATGGCGACGTCAAGGTCGGTGTCCTTGGCTGCCCTAACCTCCCGGTTGACGACTCAGCCCGTCTGACATCCGACATTGGCTCCAATGCCACTGACGAGGGTCGTGGTGTTGTTTTCTCTGCTGTGCAGGGCCACGGCGCGAACAGCCGACCTCTTACTTCCGGTGCTCTTGCTGCTGAGAAGCCCATCTCCATGCGAAGCATTGACGACCTCTCCAAGGCTACCTTCTGCGAGAGTGTTGAGGCTGGCCACTCAGCGCACGATGACCAAGCTCTTATCTCGAAGAAGCTTGGTATCACTCAGGAAAGTGTCCGCATGGACAGTCAGGCTAAGTATGGCTCTATTGCCCGCGGTGCTGGCGACATCTACCTCCGTCTACCTGTCAAGGCCACATATCAGGAGAAGATCTGGGACCACGCTGCTGGTGACCTCATTGTTCGTGAGGCTGGTGGCCAAGTAACTGACATTCACGGAAAGCGTCTCGACTTCAGCGTAGGACGCACCCTGGCCAACAACAAGGGCGTCATTGCTGCTCCCGCTGCTGTTCACGGCAAGGTTCTCGAAGCTGTCCAGGATGTTCTGAGCGCCAAACAGTCATAAGGAAATTAAGGAAGAAAAGAAATGGGCACGATTTAAATGAAAGCGAGAATTTGAAAAGCAGGAAAAGTAGTTTTGTATATGCCTCGTCAAATAGTACACAAATCTGTACATGATACTAGAATACACACGCCAGCTGCGTCCAATAGGCCAAGCCACCAAGCTGGCCAGTATAAATTCCAAAATACCATCTCTCTATTTGATCTTCTTCTGCTTCAGCTTGATCGTCTGGTCGTTAATAAACACGCCCTTACCCTTGTAAGGCTCCGGAGGACGCCACATGCGAACTCGTCCAGCAAACGACATGATGGTCTCGCGGTCAATTCCCTCAATCAGGATACGTGTGGGCGCAGGAGTTGTTACGGTCACGCCGCGAGGAATGCCCTCCTCGACAGGATGCGTAAACCCGAGCTTGAGGCACAGGAAGCGCTGCCCAGGAAATTCCTCTTTAGCTCCTCGCTCTTCGACGCTCGCTCGGTAACCGACACCGACAAGACGGAGAATGGCCGTGTGCCCTTCTGATACACCCATGATATAGTTCCTCAGGTACGACCATGTTGTTCCTATTCAATTGTCAGCCCCAGTGCCGTCAAGCGTGGTTATAGACGGTGAGCATACCCCACATGGCCTTTTGGTCCTTGGCGTCAGTGTTCTGGACATTCAACGACACCATCTTGGCCTCAGGATCTTGTGTCACCTGCACATATTCCGGAACTTCGAGATCAAGTTCTCCTAACATCCAGTTAGCAATTGTTCCCCTCATTCTGAATGCTGTTCCCTCATACCCAAAGGTCCCTTTACAGTGATGGTCTTCTTATACACCTTCTTGTATGATGTCAAGTCCCTGCTCGCAACCGGCTCGCCGACAGATAGCTCCACTCCTGGAGGAATCGACAAAGGGGTTCTTCCCAGCTTGGATGGTCGCTTCGAGGTCGTTGAGAAGAGGGCAGTGGCGGCTCGAGAAGATGCGACTTTGGGTGCTGTCGCTTGCCATGCTGGCACCAGGAACCCAGGGAGGGTGACAGGGCCAGACGATGAGGCCGCAATGGCTCGTCCAATTGCCCTCCCCCGGCTGGGAGTAAACATGGCGGCCATTGGTGTCGAGATGGCTGTCGTGGGCGTGCAGCAGTATTGGCTCGTCGAACGAGGTTGACAAGCTGATGGAGCTCAACTTTTCGCGCTTAGTCATAGAATCACGTGCTCACCACGATAACTTACACCAAGGGTCCGTCGGTAGATGGGTGGTCCGATTGCCGATACCTAACTTCATGTCGCAGTAACATTTCGAGAACTCGGCCAAATTGGCTTGTGACCAGTTTGAATCAGTTAGTTCTAGGTTCACTATCTTTGAGCATTAAATTGGTACAATAGTACTCTTGGGAATTTTATTCGGCTCATACCACTATTGTGTACTGCCACTAATGAGGATATCTTAACCCCAGAATTACAACAACTACACTCGAAAAGAAGTTGCAGGCCAGCTATACGACAAACATAACATAGCAGCCAGTCATTTCAGCACATTGGAGTACGTTTACTCCTCGCCCTCAGGGAGCTCCTCCTCGTATTCCTCTTCCTCCTCATCAATACCAGCATCCTGATACTGCTGGTATTCGGAGACAAGATCGTTCATGTTGGACTCAGCCTCAGTAAACTCCATCTCGTCCATACCCTCACCAGTGTACCAATGCAAGAAAGCCTTGCGTCGGAACATGGCAGTGAACTGCTCACCAACACGCTTGAAGAGCTCCTGGATAGAAGTGGAGTTTCCGATGAAGGTCGAGGACATCGTAAGTCCTCGGGGAGGAATGGCACAAAGGGCTGTCTGGATGTTGTTGGGAATCCATTCAACGAAGTAAGAAGAGTTCTTGCTCTGGACGTTGCGCATCTGGTCCTCGACCTCCTTCATAGCGACACGGCCACGGCTGTAAAAAGTTAGCAATAGTTCCTAGGTGCAAGATCGGTTTCACTCACAAAATGGCCGAGCAGGTCAGGTAGCGACCGTTGCGGAAGTCCGAAGCAGCCATCATGTTCTTGGGGTCGAACATCTGTTGGGTCAACTCAGGAACGCTGACAGCGCGGAAAGAGTGGGCACCACGGCTGGTCAGGGGAGCAAAGCCAACCATGAAGAAGTGCAGACGAGGGAAAGGCACCATGTTGACGGCGAGCTTTCGGAGATCAGAGTTCAGCTGACCGGGGAAACGGAGACAGGTGGTGACACCGGACATGACAGCAGAAACGAGGTAGTTGAGGTCACCGTAGGAGGGGTTGGAAAGCTTCAGGGTGCGCATGCAAATATCGTAGAGGGCCTCATTATCGATACAGAAGGTCTCGTCGGAGTTCTCGACCAGCTGGTGGACGGAGAGAGTGGCATTGTAGGGCTCAACGACGGTGTCGGAGACCTTGGGGGAGGGAACGACGGAGAAGGTGGCCATCATTCGGTCGGGGAATTCCTCGCGGATCTTGGAAATGAGCAGAGTACCCATACCGGCACCGGTACCACCACCGAGAGAGTGGGTGATTTGGAAACCCTGGAGGCAATCGCAGCCCTCGGCCTCACGGCGGACGACGTCGAGGACCTGGTCGACAAGTTCGGCACCCTCTGTGTAGTGACCCTTGGCCCAGTTGTTTCCAGCACCGGACTGACCGAAAACAAAGTTGTCGGGACGGAAGAGCTGACCGAAGGGACCAGCACGGACGGCGTCCATGGTACCAGGCTCAAGATCGACGAGGACGGCTCGAGGAACATACTTGTTGCCAGAGGCCTAGTTGTGTGAGCTTGGGTTTCTTGACATTGACTGTCAATACATACCTCGTTGAAGTAGACACTCATGCGCTCGAGCTGGAGCTCGGAGGTACCGTTGTAGACACCATTGCTGTCGAGGCCGTGCTCGCCAGAGATGGTCTGCCAGAAAGCAGCACCGATTTGGTTACCCTGATAAACATTGTGAGCATCCCCCGCATGCGATGTTGAGGAAGCCATGAGCACTTACGCACTGACCGGTCTGGAGGTGAACCTATTGTAGAGAAAAGATCTGATTAGCTTCTTGTTTTGACAGAAGGTTTGGTAAAGCTGCTAGCTATCGTGCATTGTGGTTGAGCTGCCACCGCCCAGCGGGGTAGAATCAGGGGCACGATAAACTCAACGCGTGCAACAGCATAACACGAACTTAAAAAGTGATGTACTCACAATCTCACGCATGTTGATGGATGTGGATGAATGTAATCTGGAGGAGTAGAGAGGAGGAGAGAAATGGGCCGAAGTCGTCGAAGAGCTGAAGTAGACCTAGCTTTGACGGAGGAGGACAAGAGTGGGTTGGGTTGGGTTGGAAGGAGACCAAAGGGCGATGTTGATTTTTGTTTGGATCTGGAGGGTGAAATTGTTCACCGCCACGGCTCCAGGGCCCAGCAGGGGGTAAACAAGGGGTAGGGCGGTTCCTTCCAGGCTATTGGACCAGTGAGCATTCTCACTTGTTTACCTCCTGGTCCGTGCACAGGTTCAGAAGGGCAAGGCGCCGCCTGAAGGGTCCCGCAGTGGCAGGCACGCCAATGAATCTGCGCCTGTCACTGCCGATGGAGAGGAAATAACAGCCCGCCGTTTTATCTCCAGATGCAAATTAAGAATGGAAGTGGTGAATTCTTATAATGCAGCTTGAAAGAAAGAAGAAGAAGAAGAAGCTATTGCACCCTAACTTATACCCTAAGTAAGCTTAATTGGGCTATCTTGAACCGTTGTTAAAGTCACAACTACGCGCCGTTGAGGCCAGCCACGCTGGCAGCCCAGTATGTGAAATCACCAACTGACGGAGTGCCAGCAAAACTTGCCCCACTGGTAAATTGGCGATTTTGACCATCCGAGATGAAGATACGGCTTTGGGCGATCAGCATTTCGAAATGAGGTGATAACACAGTAAGAGAATCTCCGAGTTGATATCTGTATTTACCAAGCAGCCCAAGATACACAGTAGAAAAATTCCCACCTGTGAAATAAGCCCCAATTGTTTTGAAAACTTTCAATTTGCATGTTTGATATCCATTGGTTCTTTTACTGGCACATATTGATATTGTTCTGAACCTAGGCGCTTATCAATCTAAGCTACAATGAACCTACATTGGCTAGTGGCAAGAAAACCCAAGACCTCTATCCTAAAGACCAAAAAGACTTCGGTAAATTCAGTAGACCTTAGATTACTACATATGACAGGTTTCATGTTCTCGCCAGCAGTCAGGTCAAAATAACGTAAGAGGAAATCATATGGTGTGAAATAATGGAAACCAGACGAAACATATAAGTTCATCTAATTGCATTGATTCGAGAAAAAGAACCACGGTCCTCAGAAGAACCAATCATATACCAACGTTGAAGCAAGGTCCAGTGATATAACGACCAGTAAGCTACCCATGCTTCTCCAATTGAAAAGTAAGGAGTATATATGTTATATGCAAAGTCGCTGAACATGATTAGATAGGTTTGGGTGAGCTATGTCTATCTATCTGGCCTAGGACGCTCTCCGCCAGACGGACGGTAGTAAAATTTATGATGTGACTTCTCTTTGGAAGTCTCAGATCGTCACAATAATATGTGTTCATGTGCAACTAAATGGCTCTGGAAGACTCCTTATCGGTGAAAGAAAAGTTCTGCTGTATCGGGTATAATTCGAAAAGCTTGAGGGGAAATGTATTGTGATCTCTGCAGTTGATGTTGCTCGGAGGTTCCTCTGAGGAATAACATGTCCACACCTATAAGCCACCTCCAAGATCAAATCTGATCCATTTCTCATGATTCGTAAAAGTCTGAAGCAAAAGCGGCATCTCTAGCGTGCAAATAATCATTGAGTTCTCCTTCGCCACGCATTCATGTCTTCTGTGATAGACTTCGCATCCTCTCAAACCATCGACATCCATCTTTGAGCTAACCTATTCCTCCGAAACATACTGCCAAAGCTCCTCTCCATTCTTGTTATTGACAAAGACGATCTTTGCAATCTTAGTACCATAGGCGTCAGTGCCATCATCTCCAACACCGCGTCGGCTCTTGCAGTCCTTGCACTGCTTGAAGTCCAGCTCGTTGTAGGAACCGCAGATACTGCCGTCGTGGAGTGTTTGGTTGCATTTCCAGTACAGTAGATTGTCGCGGATTTGAAGTGTTGGCTTGGGCTTCTTGATATCGAATGCAGGTTTGTTTTCGTCGCGGCTTTCGTGAGGATCAGGATCTGTGATATCCATGGCGACGATCGCTTGGGTGGTCACGATGCCTTCCATTTCTGACATGATTGGTAGTGATTTAGATCTAGGCAGAGGAGATGTGGTTGTTGAATATTTCTCGTCAAAGTTGAGGCGCTGTACGCAGTTAAGTTATTTGAAGAAAGATAGTTCGAACTTCGATGAAAAGTGATATGCAGAATCCGTGGGTGCATCATTTAAAAAGATTTCGTTTGAAACTCAACGCTTATTGTTGCTATTGAGTGCTAATTGCCGCCTATTCATCGAGGCTCTGATAGAAATCCGTCCGAGCCCATTTTATCGACATCATATGTAACACAACCTCACATTATGCATCAGTACCATTAGGGTTGGACAATATGAGTCAAATCTTGATTGCTGCGTTTGTGAGAGGAAACTATCATCAGCTGAATAGCGAGTAGCTGAAATCAACGACATGAAATGCTTGTATCACACATTATTATAGGTCATCTGGTCTCAAAGTTATCGGGCAAATGTAGATTCTGGATCATAGAATCAGTCTTATCAATTTGGCTACGTACTTAATGCTGCTTAACAACACCCGCAGCATTAGCTTGCGCGGTAATCCTCTTCTTGTACGCCTGGACATCGCCGGGAAACTTCTCGACAGTGCCTCCATCACAAACCCACAAAGATTTGCACACCGTCTGCAACATTGTGACGTCGTGAGACACCATCAGCACACCACCCTGGAATTCGTTGAGCGCCTCAGCCAAAGCATCCATGGCTTCGATATCAAGATGGTTGGAAGGTTCGTCAAGGACCAGAATATGGGGGTTTGTAAGAGCCAGGCAAGCAAAAGCAACACGAGACTTCTGACCTCCAGAAAGCAATCCCATCTTCTGCAGGCCGGTTGTGCCAGTGATACCGAAAGCACCAAGTCGGCGACGGTATTCCTCATCTGTTCGTCCCGGGTAGTTCTTTGACATGAAACCCACAGCACTGTCATTGAGGTCGAGGGCATCAACGTGGTGCTGAGCGAAGAATCCAATTCGAAGACGAGGGTGTTGAGAGATCAGACCAGACGAAGGATCCAGCTTACCAATGAGCAGCTTCAGGATAGTTGTCTTACCCGCACCGTTGGGTCCGACGATACCAATTCGAGAATCCAGCTGGACATCCAGGTCAACATTGCGTAGCAAGATGTTGTCTTTGTTATAACCAAAAGTGACCTCAGACATCTGCACAATAGGGGGTGATAGCTTCTCGACTTCGGGAAATGTGAACTTTACGCTGTACTCAGCCTCTGGGGGTTCAAGAACCGGCATCTTTTCGAGCTTCTTGATACGTGACTGAGCTTCTGAAGACTTGGCAGCGTTGTACCGGAACTTGTCGATAAACGCCTGCAGATGGGCTCTCTGGACCATCTGGTTTTCGTACTCCCGTTTGGCGACTTTCTTGCGCTCCTCGCGAGTAGCGTAGAAGGTATCGAAGTTGGCTCCACGGTAGTAGTCGAGACGCTGAGAGTGTTGGTGAATGATATCGGTGGCGACTTCATTCAGGAACGCTCTGTCGTGAGAGACAACGAGTACGGTGCTGGGGTATGTTTGAAGGTACTCGGACAAGAACGTAATCGAAGGAACGTCCAACATGTTAGACGGTTCGTCAAGAAGGAGCAAGTCAGGTTCACAGAACAGTGCTCGGGCAAGGGCCAGACGCATTCTCCAACCACCAGAGAAGGTCTTGGTGGCGTGCTGCTGTCGCTCTGCTGAGAAACCGAGACCAGCAAGGATACTAGCAGCTCGTGACTCGGCCTTGTCTGACTCCATCTCGGCCAACTTGGATTGAACATCTCCTAGCTTAGTATCCTGGGCCTCTCTATCGCGATCGAGTCTGGCCGCGTCGGTAGATGTGTCAGCGAGAGAGGCACGTTGCTGCTCCAACTCTGCCAGACGAGCCGTAATTTGCTATCATTGTTAGTAAGTGTTCGATATGACTGAAAGGCATACTTACATCTTGCTCCTTCAGGAGAACTTTGCGCCAAACATCGGCATCTAGAACCGCCTGGATGGCTGGAGTGTCGTCACCGGTAATCTTTCTTGTCAGCTATGTTCTTTTTTTGGTGTACTAGGGAGAACTTACTTCTTGCTCGACGTGCAGAATGGAGATGTGGAGTGGGATTGCAACCTCACGGCGAGACAGAGCTCGAAGCAGTGTTGATTTACCAACACCGTTGTTACCAACCAAACCATACCGGTGGCCATAGGCGAGGGTGAGCGTTGTATCTGTAAGAATACGGTTTCCACTGATCGACACATCAATGTTGTCCAATTTGATGTCCTTCGACTTGTTTGCGGAGCTGGAGCCCATCTGCAGAGGGTTGACGGCCATGTAGAACTCTTCGTATGACTGTGTCGATTCGGGTTGCTCAAGCAGCTTGGATGCCTCGTACTCGACAGTCTTGAAGGTCTTCTTCTGCTGCTTGGCGGCAATCTTTCTCTCTGCCTTCTCAAGTTTCTTACGATCGACCTTGGATTCAACCTTCCTTGCGTTCGCAGACTCCAGGTCCACGCCACCAGTCGCCACAGCTAAGGTGGACGACATGTTGCGCTGCTGGCTCACCTGGATAGTCTGGTCAAGACGCTTGACAGTCGAAGGCCCTCGTCTCTGGCCTCCATTGGCCTCGGTGTACTTATCGACCCATTTCTCGACCAGCTGTTTAATCTTCTCCTCCAGCTCGGTATTAACTTGGCCAGATGCGGACAGCAGCAGCTCGGTGATGGTGGAAGCAGCCTCGTTCAGTGGTGACTCGCCCGATGGGTCCTCCTCGTCCAAGTAGGAGGTTGACGCATGGGTTAGGTAGCCCACAGAGTACTCGGAGACTACGGGGTCGATGTGCGGCAGCACAGCTCTGATATCAGCCTCCATGATGCGCTGACTTGACGGCAGGATAGCTGGGATAGGAACGAATGAATTGAGACCTCTTGATAAACCACGACACGATGTACACCTTCAGTATGCTCCACGGGCTACACAGAGTTTCCAAACCGTGACTGAATGGCTTGACAGTGTCGCTACCTTGAATGCCCCGCCAGAAATGTCGTTGAAAATTGTGGGTGTAGATACTGGATCCATCAGCACGGAGGTCTGATGCCCGATCGCCGACATCATCATCTCCAGGGTAGGCGTGTCTGAAATAGTGACAACCAATCCACATAATTTAATGATTGATCATGAATCACTAAAGGAATGCATGCTCATTCTTAATTTCCAGTTTGACAGGTTGAATTCGGGTATAGCTATGGTAAATATGCCACAACTAACTCAGCTTGGTGTGCTGACAGGAAGTGTGACATTGGTGGGTGCACCAGATATTTCAAGCCGGCCAAGAATTCAAGCTGGAACTTCAACGCTACTCAATGTGCCCGGGACGACAAACCGAGTGACAGAAATCCCTGGGTTTTCCAGCGGGTGGAATGTTGGACATAGAAGCCACTCCACTCAACCTACGATAAACTGCCAGTCGTAGCAACCTAACCTATAGCTAGCCACTTCATGTTTGTAAATGTCCAGAAAGATGGTAATGGGAGTCATGGCCTTCCTGAACCGGGTCATGCGGATAGCAAGAACCTAAGACACGGGAGCTCGAGCACACGAGAAAAAGGCATATCGCCGAGGGAGGCTATATCAAAATGCTAGCAGGGGCATCCATACGAGTGAAAGGTATACCAGTATACCTCCAGACTCATTGGACTTGGAAAGAAAATTGACCATCAAAACTGAACCAAGCCTCATAATAAACTACAGATGTTAGATTGTACTGATTCACTCCAAATTTAGAAGAATAAGGTTATCAATCAAAGCCCAACTGGCGGTGAAGGGCCTCTAATTCAAGAATGGGATGTCGGGTACAGGTTTCTCACAAAACCTGTTCGCGGGCAAAGTATGCTAATTGCGGCATGCATGCATGTATGTCCGTTGTTTAGTTTGCCCGTGACCCAATATCAGCGCTGATAAGTTGCGTTTATGCAAAGAGAGACTGCATGTGTAGAGCCACTTGAGCGTTCGCAGCCCATTGAGTCTTTATCTAACCTCCAAGCCAACTTATCAACAACGACAAGACACTGCAATCGAGCAAAACTTGGTTCATTCTACAGGGCTATCCCAGCGACGATGTAGTGCCTCGGAGGTCGGTTATCAATATGGTTGCTAACTATTGAAACCACCGGCGTTGAATTCAGCAATAATCAGTTGCCACGAATCCTGGCTCTACGCCGGTTTCAGTAATTACAGTTTTCAGCTCCAAACCGGGAAGACCAATCACAGTGCAGAAAGCCGCTATATCTCTGTGTATTTATTTTGTTAAGTTTAGTAAGGTAAAGTCAGAGTGGGATTGACGCGACGCGTCAACTTCATATCATGATGTTTTTCTTCGCCCGTTTGCGCAACTCGGCCAATTGGCCCGGAGATGAACCCTGGTGTTTAACTCAGATCTAGGTCGTTTATGCTGACCGAGCCCTGATCTTGCGCCTGCATTGTTCTGCACAACACTGCATTGGCGATCAGATGTAATAACCATGTGCATTACTGTACATACGGGAGATCGATGCAAGGCCCTTCTGCATGAAAGCTCAAGTTACATACCCAATGCAGAGTCACGTAACGGACTTATTTGCTAGACACCGCTATATCCACAGAGATGGAATGTTTACTGAAGAAATCAACTGATTCACTTCTGACAATACCCTCCACTGATGTTATTGAGGAATTCACATTCCCCACTCACAACAACAATAAACATTAGGGGCTCTGTGAGACCAATAACGTCTTTTGTCTTACCAGCTGATTGACAACCACTACCAACTGTCACTGGCGCCAGCCATTACCCACCAACTCCTGAAGGACATTGCTAACTAAGGACAAACGGCGCTCCGGCAATTGTGGACGCTTGAGCCTCTAGACGGACTTTCGGCGGTGCCGTTTCGCGAGGAGATGACCCATTCAATGTCATTTCTAACATCGCAATGCTATTGCCTCCACTTGGCGCGACGATAGCTTGACCATCGTGCCTTATCGAAACATAGCAAATTGGTTTTAAATGCGAAAAAAGTTAGCTCTGAGTCTAGAATGTCAGAGGCCAGGACATCGTACGTGTATAGACATTGCTGCCTCTGATGGAAACTTGAAAGATTGGCATTGTGATCCTTGAACTATTGTGTGAACTCCTGGCATCCAAGGGTGTCAATTGAATCATTCAATTTTATGAGTGTGGCTCAACAAGACTTGCACCAACGTGCTATTCAAGCAAGACAACAAATTGATCATGTCTCAGACGTGCAATCTTCCACCTGTCAGGATTCAATACCAATTGCCGGTATGAGATTGACTCGACAGGACAAGGTCAACTTAGCTCCTCGCAGCGACAGTGTCCCAGGCGCGTGGGCAGCTGGACGCCTCGTCTGTCATGCGCCTCCTATGCTCACGTTTGTCGAGGGCCGATATGAGACAATGGCGGAAGCAAATCACCCATTGACTCAAGAGCCATGGCGATCATGATCGTCGGAATTATTTCCTTATTCTGCGGGGAAAATCAGCATTCCAGGCTGGAGTTGTCCATGTTGCTTGAGAGCCTACTCCGTAGAGAGCCTCAAGATAGGACCCTAGTCCACCCCCTGCGAAGAGAGCTCAGACTCAGAGTCTATTTGTCCCTTATTATTCAATCTGTGGCTGTGGACAAGCACACCGCCGCTTTTGAGTTTAGGGCTATCGCCAGAAAAAGCAGTTCGTGCATTGCGTCAGCTCTGATCGTGAGCACTAGGCACGTCTGTCTAAAGCCTAGTTGCCGTTTGAGGATGGTTGGTGGAAATTGGACTTGATGCTCGAAGAAAATGCATCGTGTTGACTGGCTGAGGAACACTTTAATATGATCGCAAGTCGGTAGGCGAGTGGGCTGTTGAACAAAGTGTGGCGAATTGACTGGTTCTACCTGCTCAAGTTGTTTCCTCTTCATCTCCATCCAACTGCATCTGCAGTGAGATGCACGAGAAACACCACAGATCAAGGGATATCCTAGTATGAAGAGAACTCTGAAGGAAGTGGAAAGAAGGAACAACCCCGCTTTTCTCGACAGTCTCGTTTCAGGTATGAGTTGCGAGAGTTCCTGAGATGGTTTCGGTCTCTGGAACAACCCGATGCCAATGCTCAAGGAAACCGGTTCACGAGGATATGGGCTGAGCACATGTTTGTCAGCGTATTGGACCAGGCAAAAGATATCCAGCGGCCACGAGCCAGCCTTATCGAGACAAGCGAGCACCAGGAGCAGGGGTACAAGTTAAGTTTCTCTGCGTCGCGGGCCATTGCCTCAACACGAGGAGGATCTGCCTGTGGCTTTTTGGGAACTTGGTGTGAGTGCAAATTCGCATCTGGAACATCTGAATGGTGCCCGCCTTGAGGCGAGAGATGTTCCAAGTCCCAAGATACCTCTAGTTCTTGAATTGGACCCCACTATGAGACGCGAGCGCCTCTTCGGATCTTGATCGAAAAGCTCGTTGACCGAAAAACATTCCGATACCCATGACTTGCGGCGACGGCGGAGGCATAATCTCATCAAATCAGGTCAGTCGTTTCATCTGACCCCTCAGTAAATGCGAGCAAGGGGCGGCCAGCTGCTCCGCTTTCTTCAGGCAGAGGCAGAGGCAGAGGCAGAGCGGCAGGTTTATTCTGCAGATCACTGGGTTTTGGATGTGGTGTGGTGTGGTGTGGTGTTGTTGTTTTTGTTTTTGTTGTTTACGTTTATCTATTTATGGTTGGTTGTGGCTAATTCACCGTGTGCGGCAGGCCTCGTCCTCTGACAGCCCAGCCTTTAAGGTACGGTACCATTGTTGATTTCAAGACAGTGTTCTAGATCTGCAAGGGGACGGTCAATACACGTGTACCTAGTTTCTGGAAAATCAAAGTAGAATTTGATATAATAGTCTGGGTTATCCTAGTCTGACTTGTACATTGGTAAAGTTATATGAGTGCATATCAACAAACTATATGCATATGTGCGAACAGGGTGGGACCAACTTGGAAAGGAGCGAAACATTAGCTTCGGCAACATGAACAACCAAGGTCGTATATTGCACAGAATGGGGAGATTCCAGAGGGCCACGAAAGGCAATTGCTACGTATATAGTGTGCTTTTCATGTAGGTAGCAGACTCAACAGCAAACATTCGTCTTGCAGATGCTAAGAACGGCCCGTGTACCCCGAAGTCACTACCCAACCAACTTAACCATTCTGAACCATGATGTTCACTTTCTTGTATGCAATGATGGGGCATGATGTGATCATGAAAGCCTTCAAAAAAAGACAAACAGCCTTGATTGCATCCATCAGAGTTTCTTCCACTTGAACCCTGCGCCACCTTGTCAATGGCAAGGTCCCTGAAGTTCGACTGGCAAACTTTTATTTGTTTGTTGGTCTCTGTTCTTCATGCGTCAATAGTCCTAGGTACTTGGCGTTGCACATGATGACCTAGGGCGGCTGCAGACTGATGGACGTGGGACAAAAAGGCGAGTTGCTCATGTTCACAAGCAGCTTCTCATGTTAGTTTGGTCATTGAAAGAGCTGCTGGCCAGCGATTATTGAAGGCCGAGCACGCCATGGGTATTATCAAGTAGTCCCAAGGAGGAAAGGTGCAGAGAACAAAGCAAGCTGAAAACTGTCACTGACCTGTAATTGATACCAATTGCATGCAGGGCCGCATCAAGGAATCGGGGAACCTGTTGCAGACCTTGTCGCGAATTGGCTAGACAGATGCGCGTGAGATGGCGAACTACTCCGGAGGATCATACCGTTGTAAGGCAGTGTGTGTTACTGTCGAATTACTGGTTGGAGTTGAAGACTTGTAATTGTAGTACAGACAGCATCATCAGAAATGCCAGTCAGACAGATCTCAGGCGGTGCAATTGTAAGATGCAAGATATAAAGTCGATGGGAACACAACTCCTATTTCCGTGATAAGATATGTTATAAGAGTGCTGTCTGGTTCAGAGCAGGCTTCAATGGACCTATGCTGACATGTTCTCTGCTGTAAGCCTCGCGAATTGATACCCCATTTAGCATCTATTATGCCCAGGACCCTTTTCATAATCATCAGTCCCTTGAACATTGTAAGGGTTTGTTGATAAACAGGGTCGCTGCCAGGGCCGCGCCTCCAACCCGGAACGGCCCTGTGTGACAACAGGGGGCGAGAATACATGGCCGTACACGTTGTATGATGCAGATGGGGATTGATCGTTGTATCTCATTCCCCCAGCAGCTCGATGGCAACAGGTATACGCGGGAACATCAGTCTTGCAGACGGACAGCGTCACCAGGGCCCTGTGACAACATGCTGGTGATACCTACCTACATGTGCGGATAGCCTATGCTGTTACGTGGCAGAGCAAACTCGGGGGCCCTTGGCCTGTGTTGACGTTGGGCAAGCAACGGACAGGGCCCGTGTATTATATTTCTCGGTCTCTGAGTCTACGGCAGGGATCTCGTGCTGCTCTGCTTCGTCCGTTCCGGGGAGTCTCCATCCCGTTGTGACCCCCGTCGTCGTCACCTCCGGGGCCGGGAGGGACGAGACGAAAGGTAGCGAGCGAGCGAGCGAGCCCGAGGGTCAAGGGCAGCTCGATGAGATGCCCTTTTGGTGGAGTATCTTGACTTCGATCCTGTATTTTAGCGTTGAAGATCGAATAAGCACCTCATTCTTCGTTCAGACCACCCGCTTTCCTGCGCACCATCTGACTTTGATGCAGAAATGCCGCTGTAGGGAGAGCCCGAGATGCAACCCCCGGAGGAAGCCAAGGAATCCCTCGGTGAAGTAACCCGTCCGGAGCTCCATGTACCAGGGTTAACAGCCACAGGGCGGTCGTGTTGCCCACTCCAGTCTCCAGGTATCCGTAAAAAGCATACCAAAGTTCAAGGGCATCGATCGGATACAGGTCGAGACAATTAAAGTTGATATTCCTTGGAATGGTAAATAACGGGTGGCCAGCCCGCAGGCGCTAGATAATAAGCGTTGCACCTTTCCAGGATATTGAAATTTATGTTTGAGACTTTGAGACGTGATGGATCTCGTGTAGCATCTACAGTAGATACAATAGGGCATTGTAGTGGAGGTTAGGTGAGGAATTGCAGCTTGTTCAAGATGCGGCTGTGAACCAACTGTGTCAAACCAATTTCACCAGATTGAAGCCGTCCCTAAGTTTAGCAAAACTATCATCCACCAGAGGATCCTCACCTTGACCTTAGGTCCGATGTACTAATGCTAAGTCAGTGTCTATGATATCAGATTCAGGCCATTGAATCAACTATTGTATGCAAGTCATGTTAATGTTGGCTGCCCTCCACTCAAAGTAGCAAGTCTAATCTCTCTTGCTGCTCAGCGCTTGAGACGTGCCCCAGCTCAGACCCAATCAATTCCAGGTTTCTCAGGTACTCGCCATATCTGGGCGCAGCGCCGCAGCGGGCCACCTGCAGTCTTGCTTGCACTGGACTGCCAGGGATAAGACACGTTCAGTGGGCTTCCCGGCTTTACAGGAGCCCTGAGGCCCGCAACGGCGCTAGATTCTCAGTGGCTCCGCCCGCTAATAGGAGACAAATGCAGGACCTGGGTGCCCTGGCTTCCCGTGGAGTCGCGGTCTTATGTGCATCCCTGCAGAGACGATCCGTCCTCACCTAAATCTCACTTGTAATCTCCAGGTTGCAGGTAATGAAAAGCGTGCGATTCGAGGGGCTCAGGGCGGCATTCCCTATCTCTTCTCCTGCTGTGATTGCCCAGGCCTTGCTTTTGTCGTTCAATCTCTGCTTCGCTGCTGGCTAATTGGTGCTCAATTCGATAAAGGGTACCACCTAACTTACCTTAACTGTGTTGTCTTTGCCAGTTACTGTAAGGGCATACAGGAGAAAACATAACGCCCAGTTGAAAAGTAAGAGGGGATAAGAGAGAGCAAAAAGGAAACGATCAAAAGACAACGCCAAGCTTCTTTTCAACGTCAACTATTTTCCAACTAATTAGTCTCTCCCTTTCTACATTATCGTTCACTACACAAATCGTTCGTTCTATAGAGGCGGTCCAGGTTCTCCATTTTCTATCTCCCCACTATCACTGGCACTGGTACTGAGGTGCACTGTCGCTAAAAGGTACCTACCTGCCTACACATCCGCGGCCGCAACTGCCAGCCGAGAGTTTTGTTTTCGACAGTCGCTCCCGCGACCTAGGCCTAATCAACCTCAAACTCTCAGCTCAGCCCAGAAGTTTCGTCTCTCATATTCTTTTCCAAGCCCAAGCCCAAGCCCTTTCCCCGTCTTTCTTTTAAACCACCCTCCAGGAAGTCAGAGAGACACAAGCGACTGACTGACGCCGAGGTTCTTCGGGGAGAAGGCATCGATTTGCTTGCTTGTTTGCTGTTTGCTTCGCATTGTTTTGTTTGTTCGGCCAGAATCAGGTTTCGCCTAGCTTCCTCCCGACTTCGCATCGTTCTCCCGGGGCTACTCTTCCTCTCTCTCAAAGTCAGGGGACCTTTGGAGCGCCTGCGTGTGTGGGTTACAACGGCTTCTCCTTGAGCCGTCAGGTTTGTTGAGACTCCATTGAGATCTCTCAGGTCCATGGCTTGAACGACGATGAGCATCACCTCCGTTTCCAGCACCGCCATCCTCCGCCTCTAGAATGCTAGCCGCTGCATTCTCTTTCTCGCTTGAGTAGAGCGTCGGCTTCCCTCGCAATGGAAGCTACTATGCAGACCGTTCCAAGTGTAAGTTTGTTGCTAGCTTTGGCCTCCCCGCAAAATCAATCCACAATCACATCGAATCAATCAAGGATCATCACCACCACACCAGCATCACATGGCGCTGTTATAGACTTTAACCTATCCCACCCCAACTTTGCCCTATCCTACACTGCTCTTGGATCATCTCAAACCCTCTTTCTAGGTGGCTTACCCACCATCTTTCCTGTTGCAGCAGTAATTGACCGTGTTTATCTATTCAGCTTGTTGGAACAGGCACTGCCATCGCTGCAGCGGCCAGTGGTTTGGTTTTCGGCCAGCCCACCACTGAACCCAACTCTTTCTCTCATCCGACTCGTCGTCCTTCTCATTCCAGACGAGTCTCGATAGACCGCGAGCCAAGCAAACATTCACAATCGCCTGGCAACTTTGCTTCCACACGGCCCGCTACGAGCAACACCGCTGCCTCTGCTGTCGGCGCCTCGCACTATCACACACTCCCGCGCCCAACTACTGCCTCGAGACCTCCCCTCTCCCGTTACCAGCGACCGCCTATGCCACAGACGCAGTCGACTCCCCCTCCTCTGGCTATCAGTAGGAAGTCTTCGTTTGTAAGGCAGACCGACTCTCCAGCTATTATTCCTGAGTCTAGAGACTCAATCTCTTCCAATGGATCTTGGATAAGGCGTTTCTCCATTCGCCCGCTGTCTCGTCACGAAAGCACAAGGTCGAGTATAGGTCCCGACGCGCCTTCCATCTTTTCCCACGGTTCAGCTGCCCCCATCTTGCGCAATCCTGCTACAGCAACGCTTCTCCCAAATAAGCTCGTTAAGCGATCTACCTCAACCCGCATCGATCCAGATCCTTTACCGCGACGACGTGCGAAGTCTCACTTACAGATTCTACCCGTTCTTCGCCGACCTGCTACGAGCCATCAGAGGTCTGCAACACTACAACAATTTCGACCCGATTCTGCGCTGAACACACCAACCGATTCGAACAATTTCTCGTTCGACGACCCATCACGACCCCACGAGTTCCTCGCGCCATCCCTGCTCGAGTCCCCCTCCAGATCTGCATCTGCAAGGAGCGGATGGAAGTCGTACTTCCACTCTAAAAGATTAAGTATTAGCGGACGCACAGGGTCGGGTAGGTTTGGCGAGTTGAGTCCACATGCTCGAGCCGTCTCCTTGAAGCGCATCTGCATCGAGAACGACGAGCGCAACAGAGTTCATCTGGTGAAACCAAGAATGGTTTCGACGGCATCTGCCCCTCGAGGTCTATTGCCAGCTGCACAAATTCAACCAGAAACTTGCACCCATCAATCCACTGCGGAAGAAAAGACTCCACCCTCCGAGGGAACTCCTTCTAGGACGCCCCGCAAGTCGATCTCAATGCCATTTGCATCTGCAGGAAACTGGGCGGTAAGGACGACAGGGAGCATTCGGCGCTCTAAACGTGGCGCTGAATCTGGGATCGGGAATAAGCGACATGTGTCGGAACCGCTGACTGGCGCGCAATCTGGCGCTGAACCTGGAACCAATCCGCCGCTGGAATCGACCCTCCCCGCATCATCACCATTATCGGGCCGGCAGGGGTCGTTCCTGGGTTCAGCTGCCAGTGTGCAGTTAAAAAGTCGTAAAAGGAATTCATCATCACCAATCCCCACGCTTCCAAGACTTGCAAATTTCCATGTGGATGCATCCCGCTTAGGGTCTTCTGCCGGAGTTTCCATTCACCAGTCTCGGCCTAACCAACCCTCCGGAAGTTCTACCAGCTCCACTGCGATGTCACAACTTAGGGCACCGCAGCACGACAGGACCTCCACCATGGAGAGCTCTGAAGGTGACACCCGGGATTGCACATCGGGGGATGACGATGACACGGATTTCAAGAGCGACACCATGTTTGACTCGCTGCGCACTGTTGGCTCCAGTCGTGCCCGTGCTGTCGAGACCCCCTTGGAGTCCATGTATGACGAGTCACCACCAAGCACCGCCGGCAATGGTACAAAGACGAAGCGCCTCTCAATCCACGAGATCCTTGGCCGGACCTGGAACGAGGATGACAAGATCATGGAGGAGGACGAGAATGCATCCACACCTGTCCGCACAGTCAAGCGATCTGAGGCATCACCACGCTTCAGGCTTGAGTCGAGATTTAACTCATCGCCTTACGATGTCTTAACCACTACGACCAAGGAGTACAGCAGGCTGTCCTTGGACGACGAATTTGATGATGATTGGGCTAGGGATGACGAGTTTCCCTGTAACCCCTTGTCACCTCCCTCCAAAGGGAGCTCACTGAATTCCACAGGAATTAACCCTAATGTTCGCCTCGCCCTCGCCAATATTAGTGGTAATGGCCTTCCTGATACGAACGGCCACGATGCTCCTAATGACCGCCCACTTAGCACCCTCTTCGACTGGAGCGAGCCCCCGACACACGACAAATCTGATATTGGACGGTCTTTGCGGCCCAAGACTTCTTATGCTAAGGAGATGGACGCTAGAGGTGGCCGCTCCGCCATACGCAAAGGTCCAACCCCAACTCACGTTCGAAGTCAGAGCGTCCCAGTGGTTCATGATGCCCCCGAAGATACCAAGACTACCGGATCCAAGTATGGCACATGGGGTATGGGCACCAAGACAGTCAGCGAGGATTGGGATGACGACTTCGAATTTGGTGCTGGCCCTATTGGCAGTAATGACAAGAACGACAAGATCTTTGCGGTACCAGAATCGATTCGTGCGACGCAACCAAGTGTTAAGGCTCATTCTGGCCATATTCGAGAATTCTCGCTTCTTGTCAATGATTTGAAACGCCTGTGCCGTCATGGGCGAGATATGGATATGCTCGAAGGATCACAGAAGCATCTCTGGAAGGAGGCTGATGGTATTATCGCTCTCGCATCCCCCGATGAAGAGTCGTTGGACGAGAACGATGATCAAAAGTCAACATCATCTATCAACTTCGATGCATTCGATATTGACGAAACGTTCGGAGACGAAGGCTTCGATGCCCATTCCATGAATCGCCTTGATGCCGCATTTGATGGCCACGAACCCGCTATGACAAAAACCACTGTCGTTCGAGAACGTCCCTCACCCCGGCGAAGATCTGTCTTCTCTCCAGAAGATGATATTTTCGGTAACTGGCCTTTGAATGACAACCCCCCATCCAATAGGCCCAGTCGCCCTCGAACACCTGAGAACAAGTACAGCAAGGCTCATGATGTGTCGGGAGTCGTTCGTTCTGTCATTGGGGCTATGCAACATCGTGCTCCCGAGCAAGTACCTGATAATGGCAAAGTTCACTTCGACACTAATAGCCTCAAGGCTCTGGTCAAGAGAGCTGGCGACTTACGAGATACACTATCCGACATTGTTCGACAGGCCGATCAGATTACGCACAGCCCGATGAGAACACCCAGACATGAGCGCCAGCATGACTCGAGCCCTGCCTTTACGCGGGTCTTTGACGACCCCGGCTCGAGCCCTCCTAGAAGAGTGGCGCGAAGCCGCGGCAACAATTCACTTGTAGAAGCCGCATCGTCCGAAAACTCGCCAACTTCTGGCCTACCACAAC